AGATAGTTTGAGATCCTGAGAAGAACATAGGATAGTTTTTATCCCGGAAATCATCTCTTAGGGGGTTGGAAAGGGAAGTGGAAGTTGTAATATATAAATAGTTCTATTTATCAGATGCTTACAAATACTCAATATTCGGTGAATCTTTGTATTAGTAATAACATTATGACACATAATTTGGACGGCCTTATGGAATAGCCTACTTATGTATACAGTGTGTTAATATTTATTTATGAAAATATTTAGTAGTTTTTTATGAAAAAAAAAATTACACCTCCAGGTAAATTTCTAAGAAATCTATTGTTAACCGTAACACCGGAGTGTCCGCGATCGTGGAGGGATTAATCTGTGTTTCAAGGCTTTTTTTTTTAATTTTAACGATTTTAGTTCGGGACCTTTATTTTGGACCTGCGAATTTAATTCGCAACCTAGTATAGTCTATGGTCTAAAATAAGTTAAAAATTCTGCAAATGATGAGGAGATATTGATTTTTATAATTCTATAAAATTTTACCTTATTTTCATTTTTATTTATAACTTCACAATAGAGTTGGTCCTGTCCATAATATTAATAACTTCTTGATCTTTTCATTTCGATATATTAATTTTTGACTCTTTCTCGTTGATTTATTTTTGATTAACCTTTGAAACACGCGAAGGGCGAATAGATAACACTGTAGGTCAAATTTATTGACCCACTCGTAGGCTATCACAAAAAGATGATATTAGGTTCAATTGGAATAATAACGACCGATTCACACTATAGTGGCGATCACGGTTCGCTCTCGATCCGATATGGGTCTGGTAAAATATTGTTATACAAGAAACAATGAGTGCATTAACACTATCAGTAGACTTACGTACTAGTCGAATCAGGCTCCAGCAACGTTTCTTGTATAGAAAACTACCAGACATATCGGACTGAGAACGGACCGTGATCGGCACTACAGTGTGGAGCGGCCCTAAATGCTTCCAAGATGAAAACCTTATAAATAAACAGGCCGAACTAATTTGACCGAGTTTTGTTATACGAGAATGCTTCGTTGCAGGAACAATGATGAAATGATTTAAGATAGTTAAACTAAAGCTGACTAAGAAACAGTATTTTTTTTTTAATAAAATCTTTTTTTTATATGCAGTGAAAGCCTTTGTTCTTTACGGTAATCTCGCTAAATTGTTGTCGAAAAATACATTTGTATACCTTATGTATTTTGTCAGACTGTCTGTACTTGTTATTATTGAACAAAGCGTATTATTCCGTCGAGGAATACTTTGTAGATGCAAATAGTAATCCCACAGATTACTTTATACTCACCATTAATTGATACTCGCGTAAGATAAGAACATACTCGTAATTATTGTATTGCAATATTATAAATTATTATTATATTTAAAACTTTAGGTTGATTTCCCATACAAAGTTTCATCCCCAATTTCACCCCCTTAAGGGATGATTTCCGGGATATAAAGTATCCTATGTCCTTCCCAGGGTCTCAAACTATCTTCTTACCAAATTTCATCTAAATCGGTTCAGTAGATCCAGAGATTACCCCCTACAACGTCGCAAACTCACAATTCACAAACTTTACCTCTTTATAATATTAGTATAGAAGAGCAACTGTTGAGTTTTTCGCCGGCTCTTTTCAGCAAAATTGCCTTCCGAGCCGGTGGTAGATTCTTCACGGACTTACACACTGACATCTAATTTAATTTTAAAATGTAAAATTGACGATGCAATAGTGCGTGTTAAATCTTTTTATATAAAGTATATTTTGATTTGATTTAATATTATCTTTTTAGTGTATGTGCAATAAATGGATAAATAAAGTAAGGTTTAGTGTTTAAAAGCTTAGTAGAACACAGACGGACATAATCACCGACTGTTAGGTGTTTATAAATATAATATTTATAAAATCTACAGTAAAAACACCCTATATACCATATGAATGTTATAAACTTCCTTTACTTGTCACAGTGGGTACACAGATGTTTTCACTTTGTACACGTTTGTTTAGATTTCGTTAGGGGCGATCGCGAGTTTCTATTTGTTGAAGTTTTGCAATACGTGCCAGTGATGTAGTGAATGAATATATTGTTTACAAGCATTTTCTCGTGGCTTCGCCCGCGTCGTTTTAATTTTGTAGAATTATTTGGTTTTCATAGGTCGTAGTGTGATATTAGTAAGAATGTCTATAAACTTCCTCAGTAAATAGGTTATGAAATGCAACAATACTTTTTCAAATCGGACCAGTAGAGCCGAGATTAGCACGTTCACATAAACAAAGAATTAAAAAAAAAACACCTTCTCTCCTCAATTTAGGTTTTTGTGTTGCGATACCAATAATGTATGAACTAGTTTAAATTTACATAATTATTGTTAATATACAGGATATATTTTAAGGGTGGTTTTAAAGGTTATCTTTTAAGTTGAAAAATAATTAAAATCAATAATGCTTCTTTTTCAAATAGTATGATAGATGATATTTGACACCAAAAATTTATATTACATGTTTAATAGTAAAATGTCACTTTAATTATATTTATTAGTATAAAATTATTTAATTTTGCGTAAATCTAAAATATCACTTTTAGATATAAAGCTAGTGCGGGTGAGAGAGAGAGAGCGCGGGGATGTGCCATTCCGGCACGTCCCTCTACGTCCCGCTGATACCTAAAAATTGTGATCTGTGCATCGGAGCGTACGATGTTCAGAGCCGCCATTAAGTTTGAATCGTACTATATCTGTCGAATTGTTCATCAAGTATATTAATAGATATCCAAGATAAAACATCCAAGGGTTAAGAGATAAAATTCAAATGGCTTCGAGTGTCAAAGTATTGTAGGCGTCAGTGATAAATATTGTTCAATCCAACTTTTCATTCAGTTTAAAGAAACATTGAATTCCATGTTTCATAGATTTTTAGAAGCGAACTCTTAAGCTTTATAAGAAGTATAAAATTGATTAAAGTTTTAGCCTATCTGACATCTCGCAATTTTTAGAAGCGGCGTAATTTTACATGAATAAGCTAAGCGAGTGCTATCGCGGGCTAAAACAAGTCTATATTACTCGTATTATGATGTAAAACGGGATATCTACCTTGTTTAGCACTTACTTTAGAGAGCTTCTGATATCTCGGCATGGTTCTGCAAATTACAAGCGCCGTGGTCACGGGTATATGTTTTATCTACATCATAATAATATTGTCAGATACCATGAAAGTTTAAAGACTTATAAAGGAAGTCAATACATATTTCTCCAGCCCTTCTCCATATATATATATATAAACGCAATATGCTTAAAAAGGGACACAAATTTTCTCTTCACGTATGTACCTATGTATATAGACAATATGTATATCGTAGGTAGTTTATACATATGTACATTTTTATTACGTAATGGCGCCATCACGCAGATGTCAAAAATTAATTACTTTGCTCTAGTAAATTAGTCATTAACTCTTTGATCTTGTGTTTATATTGCATATATAATATTAAATGACAAATTCTTGTATATAATATTTCGTGTATCTCGGAAACGGCTCTAACGATTTGGATCAAATTTTGTAATAATATAAAGTTTTACTTTTTAACTTTATATATATGTAGGTCTTTATGAAAAAAGACAATATTTTTTACGAAAAAAACACGGCCAGGTACATTGTTTCTTAAATTAAACATTACAACACAACATAAAGGAAAATTGATTAAAAGAATCCAGTATAGATTTAATTTTCTAGGATTAAAAATTAGCACATATTCAGTAAATTTTGTAAGGTAGTTTAAATTCAACCAGTACAGTGGCCTTATCCTAATATGTATGTATTTATGTTCATAGAGCTATCAACTAGTGATGTATAATAATAATATTTGAACAAAAAAGTTATTTCAGATATGGATAAGGCATATAATAATCATCTTGATCTCGTTATAATCGTAAGAAAAACTTAAACAATAGTAATAAAATTTGAATAACATATATAAACTCTCAAAAATAACCATCAAGCAATAAATCAAATAGAATGCTAGCGTTGAAACTGTTATATCTTTAAAGCAAGTTATTCCGTAGTGTTAATCTATATTTTCTCATATAATAATCACGAAGAATTTAAATAACATTTGCAATGGAGAAGAAGAAGAATAAAAGTTCTTTAGTATGCTGGTAAGTTATATATTGTGAGACCTAATATAAATAAATAAATATTAAATACCATCTAGTTCCATGATAAGATACGAGGCTTATATTATGGATACCAGATATATAGTTGATACACTACACATACATAACTCTTAAATACATACATATTAAAAATATAAACACCCATGATTGCATAACAAACATTGGTGCTCATCACACAGAGTGGGCCTCGGCGGGACTCGAACCCGCGACCGCTGGCACAGCATGTAGGGTCACTACAAACTGAGCTAAACGTAATTCTATAGTTTTTACCACAGAAGCCTTTTTTACCTATTCCGAGGTCTGAAAGAGTCTGCATACTACAGACTGTGTTTCGGTCGATAGTTTGTTTGGTTTCATAATTATGATTTTTTTTAATATCTTCATTATGACGATATTTACATTTCGTAAAACAAATATTTCGTAATAATAAACAACCAACAAGTACTGACATATTAAATTATAACTATTACGTATTTTCAGATTTGGTCGCGGTGTATATAGATTTTGTTCCCGACGATTTGAATGATTTATAGCAAACATGAGCCCGGGAGAGACCAAAGTTTCTCGACCAAATCCGAAATTATATTTTTGTTTACTTTATTTAAAATGTCAAATATTCGCCTAATCTAAGAAAGTAATAATGTACAGACATACATATTGAGGACATATCCTTAGAAGGTTTATAAACACAATTTTCTATTTTATGGTATAACAGATTCATTATTCTATAGCAATAATATTTAAAAATAAATATTTTAATGTATGTATTTGTGTAGATATTAGTCCTTTTTAATTTTAATGAAATATTTTTTTTATTGTTTCAGTTCTGGGTTTATGTCGTCGTCAATAGAAGAGGTGAGTCTTTATTATTAAACTACTTACTTATCAATCAAAACACTTTTGAGCGTTAGTGAAACTTAATCATAATTATCGAAAATTATTAAAAACATAATTTTTTAAAAGAATCGAACTGAAGAATCTATTAATTATTATGAATGAAATCCCAATTCCTCCTATCCAAATAACTTATTTTGTACCTTTTTAAAATGTACTTTTAAATTTTACATCCATACTTCCATACTAATATTATAAAATATGTGAAAATGTTTTGCTTATTTGTTTGTTTGTCCTTCTGTCACGTCGAAACAGAGTGTCGGATTGGCGTGATTTTTTATGTGGAGAGAGTTGGAGAGCTGGAGAGTGAGATAGATTATTGTTTACCGCGAGAGATCATCGCATGCTCACGGAAAAACACGTTATAATACAACCTAAAAAAATATTTATGATCAGAATTACTTGAAACTTGGTAGTAATGCTTTTTGATACAATTAAATAAATAGGGGTTTTAGAATCCCATAATGGCGTAAAATAGGGGATGAAAGTTTTTATAAAACCTACCTTTTAGAGTTTTTTTTGTAGTTTTAGCGCGAGTGAATCGCAGGTTCTGCTAGTAAGAAATAATTTTAAATCTTGAAAAATATTATTTAACATCTGTGTATATAAACAAAAGTGTTATAACCAAAATGTCGAGTCTAGTGAAAGCAATATGTCAAAATGCCTACCTGTCAAATTATTTCAGTCCATATATAGCGTGTAAAGGAAACCACGACTTCCGTCGCTAGGAAACCATTTATTTTCATAAATAGACAAACTGACAAATTGATTTTATTATTAGTTTATACTTTATAGCTATTGTACGTGGGTGGTGAGAACGGCGGATATTGCTCTCATATTTAGAGAATCTGATCCCTTGACGTATTTATTAAAGTTAAATTAAAATTTCCTTTAAATAATATACTTTTTTTAGATAAGATAGATCTTATATAAAAAAAAATACTGTCAGCCTCCGAAGTGGACCTTAAAATGTAGTAAACAAAAGTATTGTGAAAGTTAACAATTATTTATTTTTAATTATAATAAATATTGTTTTAGTAATTAATTTATTAAGCCCATCTATTACACAAAAATCGATCTGTGTATTTATGTTCCGTATGGATTCCAAAATGGCTGGAGCGATTTTGATAAAATTTGGTGTTATGATAGCTGGTTATCCGGATCAACATATAGGATACTTTTTATTGCGGGAAAATATCTCATCTCTGAGAAATCCTTGCTACGAGCGGAACGAGGGCGAGTCGCTAGTATAAATAATAAACGTTTGTTAAGTGATTTATCGCCATTATAAACTTTCATTTTTCACATGCGATGATGTTTTTAAGTCTATAATATCTCTGTACTTTTAATCAAGTACATACATAACAATTTCTTGATTCATCGTTGTAATCTTAGATAGTGAATCATAATTTTCCACGGAAATTATTTTAGAATTATATTATACTATACTTACAAAAAAAATCTCTAAAAAGATAGTTTCATACAAAATTTCATCCCTTATATTAATTACCCTTATTATACATACATAATATGATGAGTTGTTACAGGTTATACTATAACGTGTTTTCCCGTGGGGATGAAATAATCTCCCGCGACAAATAGTAGCCTATGTAACTCTCCAACCATCCAACTATCTTCACACAAAAATCACGCCAATCCGTTTCGACGTGAAAGAAGGACAAACAAACAAACAAACAAACAAACAAACAAACAAACACACTTTCACATTTATAATATTAGGTATGGATTATGAAAACCACGTCTACTGATGATTATAAACAAAATATACCAATGTTATAGAAAAATTATGAGGCAAAGCAAAATGCAGGTAAAGAAAACACCGAAACGTGCGTAGTCTACGCCCTCGCCTTTTTCTATCTATTCTCTACATTTTTACATACTTTAGATATAAATAGAAAGGATTCAAATCTATCTCTTTTTGATACTGTTTTTTTAAAATCTTCTTAATAATAGAGTAATTTTTAGTATACAGTAATTCTTGTCTTGTGTGTTTGTTTTGTATTTTTATCACGTAGCAACAACAACACATACCTATACATACATATATGATGAAGATATATAGATAAAATTATAATAGCTGCGTTTTAAAAAGAATTATACGCAGTTTACTAAGTCACCTTCATCATTATGTAAGTCATTTTTAAATTTTAACGTCCCACTGAATGAGTTGGGCATGGGCCTCCCTTGAATGCAAGGGGATCAGCCCATAGCCCACCACGCTGGCCAAGTGCGGGCAAACTGAGATGTCTTTCGAAAACTAGTTAAGTTGTCTCGGACTTGCAGGTTTCCTCACGATGTTTTACTTCACTGTAAGTGAAGCGGTAATCAAAAGTAAAGTTTTGCAAATTTATATCTATACTAATACATATTATGAAGAGGTAGAGTTTGTTTGTTTTGCGTTTAATTGCCCGTTTATTCAGGAAGGCTATAGGTATATCATATTATATATAATCTAACTCAATCTATTCCATACTACAAGTACATATTCGTAACAGTTAAAACGTACCTAGGGACGAATCCGAGCGAAGCGAAAGTGAGTCGTTAGTTTATGTATATATTTTGATACTGTCTGTCTGTTTTATTTAATATTTACTGAACTAAACCACAGACAAAGGCATTTTGTTATCATGTTTGCATTTATTATGCTTATTTCTGTATTCATGTGTCTCTTTAGTCTTATGATACCATCATTTAATATATAAAATTCTCGTGTCAGTGTTTGTAACAAAACTTCGAAACGGCTTGACGGAATCTTATGAAAGTTTGTGTGTGTACTCAGTAGTAGGTCTGAGAATAGGACGTAAACTATTTTTCATATCCTTAAGTGATAACGTTGGTCCATCCCAAAAAATTTTTTAATTTTTTGGATATTTTTTTTATAATTTGGCATTAAAAAATACACACCCCTAAATTTTCACCCTTCTACCACCAACCGCTATTTTTTTTTAGCGATATTAGTACTTACATTATTTTCTACTCTCGGAAATCTATACTAAACGTTAAAACGTAACTAGATAGAAAGCCGAGCGGAGCGAGGGTCAGTCGCTAGTTATCTATATGTAAATTAGTTTTAAGCAGATAATTTCATGCAGTATCATTTTTTTTGCATATAACTGAAAGCACTCTATTAGTTAGTTGGATATCGTCCTAGTCCTAAAAAGAATCAGTAAGATTTTGATGTATTTTACTCAACAAATTATCTTTGCATGTGTTCTATTTTCTTTAACTTACATATTATGTACATATATTAATATTTATAGAGTATTATTTATTACTTTAATTATTTACGCAATTTCATAAAATTTAGCATGTTTGGAAAATATCAAAGATATCCTTTTGTATAGTACAGCAACAGAATGTGGATGTATTGAACCTTAACTTTATTTCCGTTTCTTTTAAATCCACATCAAAGTACACAAAGATAAAACTAAATTAAACATATTTAAACAGATGATCGATTTATCAATGGATATTATATGTTGAATGCATTCTAGCCTCAAAGGAAATGAATTCAAAACTAATATACATTTCTACGCCGCGGCCGTTGAAAAAGAAGATGCCTATTACTGAACGAACGTAAACACTAATACATCGAGCTTGTCTCCGCCCACGATTTTAGAAAACCAAAATAAACTTTTAAATTAGCCGTAGTGCCAGTATAAAGCCGGCTGCCAGGGGCTAGTGTCAAGGCAACCCTAAAAAATATTTTAAATTAAAAAGTTATTTCTGACGTTTCAGTTGGCGCGAAAACTTTCGTTCATTCTGACGTGTTGACTTTTCGTGAAAGTGAAAAAAATATATGTAGTGTTTAACATTGTTTTAAAGTGAACGTAACGTAAACGTAAAAAGTAACCATAAAAAATAACAAATCGATAAATAATTCATCTATTTTTTAATTTATTTTTTAAAATCCTACATAGATTAAAAAGGAAAATAATAGGTTTAACCTTTCTTCTGTTGTTAAAAAAATGTACTATGATAATTTTGTTAAATATATACAACCTACTCGTACATGTATTATTTAGTATACATAACACACATTTTTTTTATGGTATCTAAATAAAAAAAAAATAAAAAAAAATCACTTGCATTATAAAGACAGCAATTATAATAAAACGTTGCATGAGAATTTAGAATTGGTCATAAAGACAAATATAACTAAACGGTATTAGAATAATATTCGAATTCCTATGTACATGTCGGTTGTATTAAACAAAGAATTTCGCTATTCTCATTAACGATTTTCTCGTAAACATTGCGTCAGCATTACGTATTTTAGTGGTAATTGTAATGAAATTTTAAGTACTAACATTGTACATGCGCAAATATATTTTTTTAACGTTGATATGGGACGTATTTTTTTTATCCAGTCTTAAAAAGAGGGTTTGTGCTTAACCGAGGCGAGAACAAATCACTAGTATACTACTTGCATATATAGATATATTAAGATAGTATGAAAGTGACCTAAGCTTTTTAATTAAGAACTAAGTCGTGCTCGCGGCTTCACACAGTTTATTTGTGAAATCGCTCGGACTCTACAGGTGTGATGCTGATAACGTACAATCTACAACCATCCGCAATAAATAGGGCAGAATATGATAAAAATCTTTTTAAATCGGGCTGGTACTTCCAGAGATAACGTATTCAAAATCTTAAGATTTTAATTAATTTAAAAGATTAACAATTTGAGAATGCTTTTATGAGTTTTTTGACATTGAATCACAATTAGTAGGAGTTTCAAGAAAAAAATTATAATATTTAATAATAATTTAAATCATTTTACCGAAAATTGAAAAAAAGTGTAATTTTTTTTTTAACTAATATAAAATAATTTTAAATTTCAGTTTGAAAAACTTTTTGAAATGATGAAGAACATTTTTTGTAGAGCGTTCAATTACCTACAAGAATGTGTTTTGGTCATTCGAATTTATCTATTGGTT